TAATGATATGTGTAGTTTTAAATAAATAAAACCCATTTTCACAATGTAGTATTTCCCCGTAAACTTTATGTTTCGTTAACTCCCTATGTGAGTCGTTATAACCATACTATGACTAACTGAACCTGCTACGACGTTTTTCAGGCGTCGGAAAGATATGACATTTGTCACTCCTGGCCTGCCGACCGACTGTTGTGAGCAGCTGGAGTGTGGGGTGCCAGTCCCAATATAAGATCTATACACCAAATTATCACGTTCTCCCTACAAGAGACTCTGGTTTATAACTATCAGGAATTGAACCCGTACTCTAGGAGTACTATGAAGAATGTCTCACAATTTACGTTAACGAGTTTAGTGTGTATATAAAACCCTTTATGTGTAGTAGAAAATGAATCCCATTTATGTATGTGTTTGAAATGTGAAAACCATAACTATACCTAATATAGTTCGTTGGGTGTATTTTATAATGTGAAGTCCATAACTATGCCTCTTATAGTTCATTTTATGTGTTTGTAAAGTATACAATACTTATCATGAATAACCACTTCTGTTTAGGATGTTAAACTAACATTAAATACAATAAACATTTAGAAACTTATTGATTTACACTTTGCTCAACATGTTACAAAGTGTTAATAGAATTGTAAACTGTTAACTAAACTTTTAATCTTTCTGCATTGTTTTGGAAAAATCACAGGAAAATCATACGGACTCGAAAACTAAATCCGTAAACTCTGAGAGTTTAGAAATTGTGTCTAGTTTGTACATAATTTTTATTATGATTTTTAGTAACCTCTAACTTGTGTAACAATGTCTATATTCACAGACTGGTCCGAATTGTTTTTGAAATGATAGGCTGTTTCGTAAAAATCACCATAAATTGTAGAAAAATCGTATGGAGATGTGCAACTCGTCGAGTTAATCTTCCAAAACGCGCGGTCCAACATTCCAACACGTCGAGTTTTCATCCTTGAACTCAACGAGTTGGCTCCTCAATTGAAGTTTTTCTTTCCTTAATTAATCTTCTGGATTCCAGCGTTCAGGGTTTTGGCTCGGGTGGGCCGGGTTGCTTATCGTTTGGGTCTTCCAGCAGAGCTCAGCCAGATCCACAACACTTTTCATGTCTCCCAGCTGTGAAAGTGCTTAGTGGATGACTCCGCAGTTGTGCCTTTAGAGGATATTCAGGTGGATGACAGACTGAACTACATCGAGAGACCAGTAGCCATTCTCGACAGGAAGATGAAGAAGCTGAGGAACAAGAGGGTAAAGTTGGTGAAGGTGCAGTGGCAGCACCGCAAGGGCTCGGAGTGGACTTGGGATCCCGAGGAGGAGATGAGGGAGCATTACCCAGAGTTATTTCCAGCCGCAGTGGACTTCGAGGACGAAGTCTGATTCAAGTGGAGGATAATTGTAACATCCGTCACTTGAGGTAATAATAATTATTTAATATGTTTGTAATTAATTGTTGGGATATGAGATAAATGGTGGATTATTGAGTAGGCTTTAGCAAGTGGGCCGATAGGATTGGGCTGCCGGAAGACGTATGATGGGCGTAAGCTTGGCGTATGCGGGGCGTAGTGCAACATTGGATGCAGGGGACGGAGGTGCGTATGCGCAGCGTACGCAAGCAGACTCAAAACCCTAATTTTTAGGGTTTAAGCCATATAAATACAACATTATGACTCAAACCCTAGCCTCCTTACCAACCACCTCGACCCAAAAACCCTAGATAGCCTTTCATTCCTCATCGTTGTGTGTTTTTGGCCTTGTGAAGCTCATTGTGGCGTTTAGAAACTTGGAAGGAGAAAGAAGAAGTTGAAGAAGAAGAACTTGAGTAGCTTGAGCTCAAGGATCTGGGATAACCTCACCATTTAACACTCATTTGAGATAAAAAGCTCTCAACTTGCCTCATGAATGCTTAGATCTATGTTAATGGAGTTTTGGACCTCTTTAGGTCCCAAGAATGGATTTTTATGGTTCAAATCCGTTTCTAGGCTTAGGTTTGCCACCCTTAGCGCTATATGAGTCCCAATAACAATAAAGGTTCGATCTTGAAGGTCCTTTTGTGGTCATGCATGAGTTCTAGCCATTTCCATGGAAGTTAGTTGTCATATTTCAAGTTTGGGTCCATTTGGTGGGTTGCAAGCCACCAAGTAACTGACTTTATGGGTTAAGACACTTTAGTGGACTCAGATCTGTGTTTGGAGCTTAAGGTCTTAAGGGATTAAGCCCATTTGGAAGTTTATGGCTTAACAGGGTAGTACGTTGGGCGTACAAGCAATGCAGCTTGTACGCTTAGCATACAGAGGAGTACGTCCCGCGTACTCACTGGATTCAGATTCTTCAACGTTTGGGCCTCGGTTTGGGCCAATCTTTGGGCTTCTTAGCTATTGGGCCTTGGTGGGCCATCAGGAGTCAGTTAATGGGCTAAGGACATGCTTGGGCTTAAGGAAGGCCCATTTGAGGAGTTTGGCCCAATTTAGAAAATTGGGTCGTTAGTGGCCCATTAATAGGCTTGGAAAGGTTAGATGGAATTGGGCCTAGGTTATGGTCCAAATTAGATCAAGGGGTAAAATAATCATTTTACCCTAAGAAGAATAATTGGATTTTGACTAAGTGTTATTGTGATAATGATAGTCGGGGAGTCGTCGGAGCAGCCGTAGAGATTCCTTATCGTGAGATTCCGCATTCAGCTTTGCGAGGTGAGTTTCCTCCTGTAGGAACGGGTCTAAGACACCAATGTCGGCCCGTTTATGTATGTTAGTATATACCGGACTAAGGTCCGATGCCGGTAAGCACCCGCTGTAGCTTTATATGTTTCCGGATTCCGATCTGATGTCGGGCAGTGACCGAGGAATGTTTGTATGCTTGATGTCTTCGTGATTCTTGCATGTGTCTGTTTTATATGTTTTCGAACTACGGTCCGATGCCGTGCAAAGCCCTGAGGAATGTTTGTATGCTTCCGGATTTCGATCTGATGTCGGGCGGGGCCTGAGGAATGTTTATATGTTTATGTTGTGTGATTATTTATGTGCATGTGATGATATGTTTATATGTATACCGAGCTTTGCTCGATGCCGGGCGGGGCCCGATGCCGGACTTGTCTGATGCCGGGCGGGGCCTGATGTAGCGGGCAAGGCCCATGTTATGTTATTATGTGATTATGTGATTATGTGTATGGTATGTGGTAGTTTGGGGAGACTCACTAAGCTTCGTGCTTACAGTTTTCAGTTTTGGTTTCAGGTACTTCCGGTAGCAAGGGGAAGAGCTCGGGATAACTGCAGTGCACACACCATGATTTTAGCCTGTGATGTTTTTACTCTAATATAGTTGAAAGATGATTATGATGTTTTGAAATACAATGACTTATGGTTTTTATGTGATGATTTGATAACTATGGTTTTATTAATAATTAAAAACGAAATTTTTTGACCGTATTTTTGGGATGTTTCATTGTTGCTATATGTCAACTACATTCTCTTGGCATCTCCTTTTACAGAGCTACTTCATCGCATCATCTCTTTCTTATGTAGAGAGTTATCTATGAATAATCTTGGTGACTTATCATACTTCTTTGGTATCTCTGTCATAAGAAATTCACACGAATTATTTCTCTCTATAAAGGAATACCCCCTTGAGATACTCGAAAGGGAAAATCTGGCTACTTGCAACCATTGTCATACTCCTGCTAACACACAATTGAAGCTCGACAAGACCGATCCACCAATTATGGACCCAGCCTTGTACTGCAGCCTGGCTGACGGATTACAATACTTAACTTTCACCCGATCAGAGCTCTCTTTCAATGTTCAACAAATATGTATATACAGGCATGATCCTCAGGACCCTCACCTACATGCACTTAACACATCATTTTTTATGTTCGAGGGACCCTTGATTATGGTCTTCAACTTCACTACTTGACTACTATCGACCTCACTATTGACTCTGTTGTCGATTAGGGGGTGTCCCTCATCACGTCGCTCTACTAGCGACTATTGTGTGTTTCTCAACTATAATCTCATATCCCAATCCTCCAAGCGCTAGTCTACTGTTTCCATATCCAACGTTGAGGCTGAGTACAAAGCTAATGCAGTCGCTAAGACTTGTTAGCTTCACAATCTATTGCGCGAACTGCACAATCCTCTTGCTAAAGCCACCATTGCCTATTGTGATAACGTAAGCTTCGTGTATCTCACCAACAACCTGGTTTAGCATCAACGAACCAAACATGTAGAAATTGACATCCACTTCATTTGCGACAAGGTTGCAACTAGATAAATTTGCATTCTTCACGTGCCTTCCAACCATCATTACGTTGGTATTTTCACAAAGGTTTGGTCTTCCCACTTCTTTGTTCACGAACTTTAGATCAGGTTTGAGCATTCAACCCCATCCTCCCGATTAGACTCTGGGGTGGGGTGGGGTGGGGTGGGGTGGGGGGGGGGGTATTAGTGTATATTACTTTTATAATTTGTAGCCTTAATTCTTTAGTCCAATTATAGGCCATGTATTTTTGTATATATTGTGTTTAATGTTAATTATATCATTCATGGGAAAATATTAAGCCTAATATCATGGTCCTCCAAACGTCAACATTGGTGTTACAAATATCGTAGCCAGGACTTCTTAGCTTCATAACCTCCTACGAGAGCTTCATGCTCTTATTCAATAACATCATCTACATGTTCACCAACCTCGTGTAGCACCAATAGACGAAGCATATACAGATCGACAAGCACTTTGTTCGTAACAGTGGCCCTTGGACACATTCAAGTTTTTTGTGTCTCCTCGCAATATCAATATGTCAACATCTTCACCAAGGGACTTCGGTGCTTGTTATTCTAAAAGTTTTGATCCAGGTTGAGTGTATATACATTAGGCACACATAGTTATAGGTCTAAACCCATGTTTGTATTATGTACAACTTTCTTGAAGGAATGAGAACCAGTAAACCAGAAAAAGACGTGTGATTTCAATGTTTTACACTTTATGTGTCAAAAATTGCCATAAGCTTGGGTCATGAAAATAGTCTCTTTGTATAGTATTTATAGTACAAAACCACACAGAATTATTGTTTACTTATATACAAGCTTCTTCATCCCAAAAGGGTATAGTTTCTATTACTACTAATACTAGACCTAATTTCAGAAATTTCTCGAGTTCTTTTCTTCAAGATTAAGCTGCTGAACTCGCTGGCGTAATCTTCTTCGGTGATCATGAATCTTCCAAAGTCCATGTCCAAGTATCGTTGCAGAGTAAATTCCATGCGTGATGATTGGTGCTAAAATGTTGTTTGTCTGCCAACAGCCAAATCATATCATAGGAAATACATTCATCAAAAAAGAAGATGGAAATGGAGGGCAAAATCGTCATTTCAGAAGTTTATGTGTACCTGATTCCATTCAAATCCAAGGTAAAGAGCTAGAAGTCCTTCCAGTAATGGAGAATATATCTTCTTCATTTGTCTCCTTTCATACCATGCTGTAGAAACGTACATACATAAGTCAGAGAAATGAGGGGTAAAATGGTAAAATGGCAACTCTAGGGTAGACTGGTCACAAAAATGTTACTTTTTTTGAATCTAGACAATAAATTATGGATAGAGGGTCGGAAATGTGAAATACCAACCCTACTACCTTCTCTTTTTAAGTTCTCTCTAATGAGACTAACAACAATTGGTACAAGGGTAGAATAGTAAATTTTATACCTGCAAAAAGCTTCTTCATTTCTTGACGACCAGAACGTGAACTCAAAACTGGTGCCACAACATAAGTAGGATCTGAACACGAGCAACATGCGTTATGTGATGAAGAAACAAAATCTTGAAATACACAAAATAAAAAATAAATAAATAAAAACCTTTTGGAGATGCAGCCACATAATAAAGCGAACCCGTGAGTGCAGCTGTGATCACAGCTGCAAATGCTTGTGCAAATGGTACAAATGGAGGCAATACACCTGTCTACAAGTCAAAGAAAGTCAAAGAAAGTCAAAGAAAGTAAAAAAAAAGTCAAAGAAACATCATAACATTTAGCTTTCAATGAAAGTATGTTGCTATTTTTTTGCATTAATCGAATGAAAGATGTAAAGTTGTCAAAGTCATCTCACCAGTGCAGCCATTCCATGTGCATTTGTTACAAGATCATTCCCCCTTAAAAACACATCAGCTAAGGTACCCTACATATTTTTCAAACAAAGATTAAGAAACTAAAAAAATATTATTAAATAATTTTATAAACAAATTTATTTGTGTAAACTCACCTGAACTGCAGCCCGGTAGAAGAGCTCCTCTCCAACTGAACTTGCAGCCACAATTAATATAAACTGCAAAAAAAGAAATTAATTAAATTATTGGAAATGATAATATATACGCAAAGTTCAATGTCACAGCTAGCTTATATTTCAAGCTTTTTTATCAGCTAGCAGCTAGTTTTTCATTTATCAGCTCGCTTTTCATTTATCAGCTAGCAGCTAGCTTTTCATTTATCAGCTGGCTTTTCAGCTAGCAGTTAGCTTTTCATTTATCTGCTAGCTTTTCATTAATCAGTTGGCTTTTCAGCTAGCAACTAGCTTTTCATTTATCAGCTAGTTTTTCATTTATCAGCAAGCAGCTAGCTTTTCATTTATCAGCTGGCTTTTCAGCTAGCAGCTATACCTGCCATGGAGACATTCCATAGAAAAAGCTTCTTAACTCCTCATCTTCAACATCCCGTATAGCACGAGCATGAGGGGATACCTTAACCACTTCATCCTGCACTAGACGAATCACATTCATTTTATTAGCAAGGGTAATATGGTCATTACCTCACATTCAGACACTTCATGCAATCTAAAAAAGAAACCATCTTTTATTTATCCGTATCTGGTAAACTATATATGAGTGTTCCTTTTATCTAAACAACTTTATAATAACAAGTCACGGAAAAAGAGGCTTTCTTTCCCCATAAAGTTCCTAACTTTTTACAAATTTGTCTGAGTATGTTGTCATTTTCTCAAATATTAGATTAAAGATTAAAGATTAAAGATTAAAGATTGATCATACGTCTAGTATAAAAAGAAGGGCCATAATAGGAGGAGCAGCATATCCGAGTCCTTGAACAATTGCATCTAATGATGGTGAATATCCTCCTGTGCTATCGATTCCTGTTGTTGAACATATAAAGTTTCCTACAAATGCCATTGCACCATAAATTCCTGTTTTCACAAAAAAAAAAAAAGGTTAAAATTCGTTAAATTAATCATCTAAGGAGAACAATAAAAACAACATAACAACCGAAATCTTGATAGAAAGCATAACAACAAAATCTTTTTGTTACATAGAAAAGTTCTTGCATACATACAAGAAAGAAACATTACACTTTGTAAAAGTGGAGAGTTTTGGATAAAAAGCATATGATGGTTTATTTGCATTTACACTTTAATCATTTTGTTACAGTCGATTATCTAATTATGATTCTTAATAAAACTTGGTACTTCCATATTAGGGTTGGAATTAGGAAATCAATAATCTAGCTTTTTGATGCAATCATATCTTGTTTCCATTTTCCTGATTGAGTTAATTGTGGATGGATTGTAGAACATGTGTTTAATAGGCCAAAATTAAACAATATGCTTACCAAAAAACAAAAAGGGTATACATGAATTTTTCACTTTTATTAGAAAGGAAGATGCCATCATGAAAAGGCAAAAGTCCTATGGTGAAATTTTGGCAATTGCATAGTAGATTCCAGACATGCTTATTAGTTATTACCCTAAAATGGTGCTCAGAGTATACTGTGATGATGTCTCTCCCAAATTGAATATTACATAAATGATAGAAACCCTATTTTTTTTTCTTCAAAATTCAAACAAACAAAATCTCCATTGATCGATGTTCGTTAGAGATATCAAAAATTAAAACCCCGTCGTGGATCACCATCGAATCGACTATTCGATCAGGTACAACCATTAATGTCCTCATTCAAGTTTCAACACACAATGGAATTTTGTTTTGAAGTTTTAATTTAGGGAAAGGAAATGGAAACTAACCGATTCCATAGCTGAGTCTGACAACAGCACCGATTTTGTCCCAAACTGGAAACTCAGCATCTGGGAATGTCTGGTTAAATGTAGTGACCTCCATTGCAGAACTTGTATAGCTTGCTCCGACGCTACCACCGCCGCCAGCGACAGCGCTCTTCCTCTCTCCTGTATCGATCCCCTCACCACCATTTCTCTCCACCGTAGCTCTCACGCTTACTGCTCTTTTTACGGCAACGTACCTCCGTTTCTTTAATCTCTCCGGCAACCAGACACTTCCTCTGCTACAGCAGTAAGCGGAAGTAGTCGGAGTTGGGTTAGTCGTCGGAGCTCTTAAAATCATCGGAAACTCCATGAAACCGTGTAGTTTCACCACTTCGAATCAACCCCACCTCGAATTAGCATAATATCGTGATGAATGATTGATGAGTTAGTATTTAGAGGTTTTGATCGAGTGGATGAAACGATTTGTTGGTTTTTGTAGCTGTGGGTGTAAGACGGAATAGTCGTGACCGAGGGTCTCTGGTGTCCAGAGAAACTGACGTAGATGATGAAGGTATGATGGGGATGTATCATGTATGTATGGTCGTCAGATCTGTAGTGTGTTTATGGTCCCACAGATTTGACCTTCATATCATGAAGAATCGAAATGGCCAATGAGATTCGTATATGGAGATAATGCTGCATATATCTCCAAATTTAAAGGATAAAATATATGTTTATGAATAGATCTTGATCTTCATTTATGTAGCATAGCACCATAGAGACTTGCAAATCATATTTGACTATTTGTGTAGGTAAAATGAGTAGCATTAAAAATTTAATTTATAATCATGTTAAATTAAATATTATCAAATAAAAAAAATCATAATAAATAGCAAAAATAAATACTAATAAGATCATATCATATTTTACAAAAGTGATATTTATTATATTTTCGTAAAACTAATAAAATTCATCTAATACTACCTAATAAATAAAAATAATTTGTGTCACATATCAATTTTTTAGAGTATTAATTCAAAATTTTATATTTTATTCTTATGTTGACACGTGGCAGTCTCACACTTTTTTCTCTATTAATTCGGTTTTTTAAATTCAAATAAATCAAAATTATTAAACTTGAAATTTAAATTTTGAATTAAGTTCCAACGAGTTAAGTTATCAATGGATTTTAATCAACAATTTAGAATATTTATTTTATTATTATATCTAAAATTAATAAATTCTACTTTATTGACATATATTATGAGACAACATAAATAATCTCAAGTCTACTTCAATAAAAAAATTAAAAAAAAATTACTATATGTCATACTCTCATTCATTTTATCACATTTAATTTTGTGGCTATAAAATTAATTTTTTTGTACATTTTATGATTTTTATTTATTTTATTATATTTTACATAATATTTAAATATAATAATTGTAATAAATGTATATGAATTTTATTAATGCAACTTTCCTTTTAATTTCAAAATTTCTAAATTAAAGCCAAATTATTTCTTTTGCTTATTTATTTAAATTTAAATAAGAAATGAGCATTTCAAAATTTTAAATTTTTAATATATTTCTCATTTTTCTTATAAATTCAAACTTCTACATGTTTTGGACCTTTATATTATAACATTTTTTTTTAATAAACCGTGTATTAATTTATACTATTTTACTACAGTACTTTTAAAGTTTCATTTATTAAAGTACAATATCATCTTACATTGTAAATCATTTTTCAATATTGTTTAGTATTGAATTTTTATTTTTTTTAACTTTATCAATCTACTTTAACTGTCTATATCTTATAAACTCATGGTTTCCACTAGTTTCTAACCTAGTATATTATATATAGTTATTCCTATGGTCGGTCATTATTCTCATTAACATATATATTTAAGTGTAGTGAAGTCAATATAAATCTACCATCTCTTCTCCTGTCTTATATATATATATATAGTTTTTTTTCATTAACAATAATTTATGTTTTAAAATACTGTATTTTATAATTCTATAAAACATAAATTGTTATGCATAAAAAAATGTTATGAATTCCCTAAAAAAGTTGTCAACCGTCCAAAATTTAATATTTATGTACACATTGTTTTTAAATAATACATAATTTCTTCATGAAATATAATAAACAAAAAACAAAAAATAAATAGATCTTACAAATAAAAAAATACTTTTAAGAAATAAATGTTTCACATATCATCAAATGTTATACACCAAATGACTTCTAGCTCAGCGGTATCTAGCGTTGTCCTCTCTTCTTGAGGTTGAAAGTTCAAGTTTCATCATTGACATAGTTGAATTTAAGAAGTAGTTTACTAGTTTATAGAGGTGACAATCCCAACCCGAACCCGTCAACCCAAATCGGACCCAACCCAAAAATAGTAGGTTGAGTTGAGATTTTGAACCCATTTAATTAAATAGATCAACCCGTCTAACCTGTTTAATTAAATGGGTTGAGTTATGGTTGAAATTGCTAACCCGTTTACAAACTACCAACCCGTTTAAAATTTTTAAATATTTTTTAGTTTATATTTATTTAGTATTATTATTTAGTTGGTCATTATATTTTGATCATTTTTTATTTATCAACAACCATGGGTTAGTAACAGTTACTGGAATTCGAGTTAGTAAAAATGATAGTCGAGTTACGTAGAATTTAGAAATTAAACATTTATAATATTTTATTGTTGTAAACACTTATTTATGTATGTGTTATGGGCCTATAAAGTTATTGTTGTATAATTTTCAAAATTGAACAATTATTATAGCTTTTAAATTGTATATAATTTTATTTGATGTATTATTTTATTTTTAAGTGGTTTTTTATGAAAATTTAAACGGGCCAACCCGAGTCTAACCTGTTTAGTAAATAGGTTGGGTTGCAAAAACAAGAAACAAGTCAACCTAACTTCAGCCCATTTACTTAAAATATTGGTTTGGGTTGGGAATTCTCAACCCATTTACTTAAACATGTTGGGTTGGGTAGATATTTACAACCCATTTAATTAAATAGGTCAATATGTTTATGACCCAACCCAACCTATTACCACCCCTAATTTAAGAGTAGGTTAAATTCATTGTTTAAAAAAAAAAGACAAAATTGAAAAAATGGTCCATGTGGTATGCATTTTTTTGGGGTTTTAGTCCAAACCCCGACTTCTTTGGATTAGTGGTCCTTTTGGACTAGTTTGTATGTGAAAATGCTCCCTACAAAAATTGAAATGACTAAATTGCCCTCTTGATATATTTTTTATATTTTTTTCTATTTAGTTTAATGTTTTATTAATAATAAAATGGGGCCCACACCCCATTCTCTCTCTCTCTCTCTCTCTCTCTCTCTCTCTCTCTCTTCTCTTTCTCTCCACACATAAACTCATAGATCCATAAGGAGGCTTTCGATTCATCCTCCAAATCTTCTCTTCCTCCTATCCCTCTGGTTTACAAAATGGTTGCTCAAAACCAAAAGAATCTCAATAAACCCCCAAAAATCGTCTCTGATCTCCTTTAAATGGAAGCAAATAAAATGCTTCTCCGGAATCGGCTGGGATAGGAGAGTCGGAATTGGGAGTCGCTTTTCCAGAAGAGCAATGCTTCTCTGGCGAGTTCACCGTGTAGATCCAGAAGTAATAGATATTAGATGGAGGGGGATTTCTTGTTAAAGTTGTTGTCGGCGATGGAATAGAGAGGAGGAGGTGTTACCGTTGTTTTAGGAATCACCCACTTTCTTCACAACCCCTACATTTCTTCACAGACATTGCATCTCTCCGCCACGACACAATCATCCACCACCACCTACACTTGTTTCCGATTGAGAAAGTTGGTTGCACGATAGATCAATAACCTGAATAATAAGAAGCTGCAGATTTCTAAAAACAACAAAGAACTCAAAAATCAAAAGATATGAATGTGATTTAGGGATTTTTGGAGTGATTTAAATAGAAAAGGGAGTTGGATTCCTGTTCGTTGGGGTTCAGATTGTCTGAATAGAAAAGGGAGTTGGATTCCCGTCCGACAGTACACAACGAGAGTAAAAAGGGAAAGCAATCGGTGTAGTGGGGTGGCGAGCTGCCTCCGCCAGCTTTGCTACCTCCGTTTTTGGAGTCTGGCTCGGATTGACGAGAAGGAAGGGGAACAACAACAACGATGGATGGTGGTGGAGTGTGACTGTGAGGATGGTCAGAATAGGCGGTGTCGGGCGGTGGCAGTAGGTAACCCCAAATGTCTTGGTGACCGGAAAAACGGCTCCACCTCCGGTGGGGAGTTCTTGGTCGTAAATGAAGAAGGAGGAGGGGGTAAAGTTTGTAGAGAGATAGAGAGAGAGGTGCCCTCTCATTTTTTTAATAATTAAAATGAATAAATAATTATTAAATTAAAAAAATGAATTTAAAAATGGAAAATAAATACCCCAAGGGTATTACAGTCATTTCACTATTCAGATGGACCAAAAACGCAACGAAACTAACTCAAAAGGACCACCAATCCAAAAAAGTCGTGGTTTGGACTAAAACCCCAAAAAAATGCATACCACAGGGACTATTTTTGCAATTTTGTCAAAAAAAGAAAAATCAAAGGTTATACAATTTACTTTTGAGAAGTGTATGATTTCAAATAGCATCAAGGTTACATAATACATGGGTTATGGATGTTATTCCAAAAACAAAGAGGACCTCATGGCAATTTCACACGACGGCATATCCACAAAAGTTCTAAAACCTCATTTTCTCTCTTTTTCCCTTTTTTCCTATTTTGTCTTTTCTTGAGGAATAGACTACTCTTTAATTAGAAGAAAGTTTACGCCATATTATTAGCCTAACTATACAACCTTTAATTATTTTTATTTGTAAGATAATTTAGTTAGAGATATTGAAGGATATGCGAGGTGGACAATCACACATGGCCCACGTCATAGGGGCCCATTCTTTTTATATACACGTATTTGTATATATGTAATTGAACAAAAATATTTAGATAACTTATTAACTCCATAAAAAAGAATCAAAACATTCTTTCTTATTTTTGTTATTTCTATCAGATAACTAATAAACTAGAAAACTAACAAAAAAAATCCAGAAATCAAAGGATGAATCAAAACGAATCCAACAAAATATCCAGAAATCATAGGATGAATTAAAAAAAGTATAACATTTAACAACTTATTATAGTATTAACAATTTTCTCTTATATATACAAAATCATATGTAACGGTCTATCTTTATTTTTCGCACAATGTCTTAAAATCAACACAATGCCCTTGTTGAATGTGTACTCTAATATATTTTGGTATAGTTAAAAGACTACATATGAATGTTTAGCTGGAATAAGGATTTTTGTGTGTGAGAGTGTTGAGAGCTAAGGGCATCTAAGTTATAAGTCGGAGGTTCCCAAGTGTAAGCAAATAGTAAAAGAAGAAAATGTATTGGGGTGCTCACGGGTAGTGGATTGTCCCATGAATTAGATCCTTTTTTCGTAAAATTTGATGATTACCAGCATAATGGAGTAGATGCATTGTGAGAGCACTGAAGTGTTTGCTTAAGGAGGGATGCACTACAAGAAAATTTTGAAATAGCTAAGGACAAATTCTATAGCTAAACATAAATAACAACGAAATTTGCTAAGTAAATTGCAAATGTG